GAATCAGTTTTAAATAGCGTGACTCCTTCTCATTTTCTTGCTCATTATTACAAGGAAAATACGGTACACCTTGATCACTGATCCCTTGAAAGGTAAAAAGGTGAGATGACTGTTTCTCGCTGACCGGTAGAACTCATAATAGAAATTAAGGACATACAGTAAAAATTTGCCCAGAATAGCCATTAAAAATAATAATTTTGTCATACTTTCCTTCAAGACAGACCCTGACATGGATGTGAAGACTGTTGGTCCATTAGGAAACGATAATCTTTACTTCTGAAATTTCTGCCTGAACATCTTCAACAACCTGGTGCATGTATGATGGTTTATGACCAGAAAAGAAAAAAGAAGCAAAGAAACTATCTTGGAATTACCACTTACTCAACGAGATTTGAAGTTAGAGATTATTGATTCGGTTTTTTTACTCTTGGCGTATTTGACCTTTTTCGTGACTAACAACTGCAATTATTTAATAGGCGTGCTTCTTTTCTGCAGGAGAATATGCAACTGCTAGAGCTGCATCAGCAGCAGGGACGATTATGGTACTTTTGATTTGCTTCTTCACCCTCTTTCATATTTTGTAATTTAGTTGATTTTGTTGATATCGATCCAGACTACGTAGGCAATGCGCCCCTTAAGGAGTCATTCTTTCAACAATCAGTGCCGTGTATATATGCCTCACTCCTTTTATCGATTGTTATTACAGATTCTTTCCTCATGGGGTACATCAAGTGTGGATGAGGTTGCTTCAACAGGACCTGGAATTCGCTTCTTCCAGCTTTACGTGAGTTTAACAGATTAAATCTCACACTTTATCTTACACTCTGTTTATCTGTTATTTTTTGCTGTTGGCCATTTATTTAGTCTTTTGAACGTGTTTGTCATTTGTTATTTTATTAGTGTAAAGTGTACATCTAATTTATTTACTCTAGGAACAACCTAATCTAGAAGGTCAAATGTTGTTATTTATACTGTGCCTGCACGTCATCTCCTTGCAGAAACTGTTTTCTTTCTTCCTTTTTGGTCATTATCTGCTCCGAACGTGCTTTCTTTGTTCTATTTCTTTCCAGCTTTGTTATCATATGTGAACTTTTCAGATTGAACCAAGAAAATCTGTTGACATCTTGAGAGCGAAATTTTTCTCATGATATTTTTGAGAAACCCTGTTTATCAATTGAACACTGATGCACTGCCTAATGCATTTAGGTGTTAAAAGACAGAAATGTTGTTGCACAACTTGTGAGGAGAGCTGAAAGAGCTGGTTTCAAAGCAATTGCCCTTACCGTGGACACACCGAGGGTTGGTCGCAGGGAAGCTGACATCAAGAATAGGTGGGAACTCATTGAATAACCCATCCTAAATGAAAGTAGCACATACATGGATTGTAGGAATGATAAGTAGGATGCTCTAGCTGCCTTTTGCAGTCATCATTTTTCTGTGTTTGGTGGTGGAATTACTTAAATCCATTATGAGGTGAACATAAGATGAATTGCTTCTGGTGTGCCTCATTGAAAATTATCAGTCTTTCCGTTCTGATGCATTCTTCTGCAGATTTGTTTTGCCTCCATATCTCACACTCAAGAATTTTGAGGGTTTGGATATTGGAAAAGTGGATAGGGTACTCTCTCTCTCTCTCTCTCTCTCTCTCTCTCTCTCTCTCTCTCTTCAAGCGTGTTTCTAACTGCTTCACCTCCTAACCTTGCAGACAAATGACTCAGGTCTGACCACTTACGCTGCTGAACAGGGGGACCGATCTCTAAGCTGGAAGGTGATGTAATTTACCTAAATATTATCGTCCACAGAATTGTATTGATCGGAAATATTAAAAACTGCTTCTTTTTGGTGTACAGGATGTCAAGTGGCTTCAAACAATCACTACACTGCCAATTCTAGTGAAGGGCGTACTAACTGCTGAAGATAGTGAGGATACCTCGCCCACTTGGAGAAAACCTTCATCCGTTTTATGACCTCTATGTTTCTCACCCCTGACTACGCTTTTCTGTTAAAATTGCAGCCAGGCTAGCTATTCAAGCTGGAGCTGCTGGAATCATAGTGTCCAACCATGGAGCTCGGCAACTTGATTATGTACCCGCAACCATCATGGCGCTGGAAGAGGTTCGTTCGTGATGTGAAAGTTATATTTTGATTTTCCTACTATTTTTCCATAGAAAAGCTTGAAAACTTTTGAGCTAGAGGATTCTGTCCATATCATTAAGTTTCCGTCCTAGAAAATCGCAAGTACTGAACAGGCTGACTTGACTGATATTAACAGCTGTCATCATAGGCTACATTCTATCCGTCTACCGGATGCATTTTCTAATTACCAATTTTCTTTATCGCGGTTGCCGGGCAATGAATTGGTTGATGTGATTTGCAGGTTGTAAAAGCTGCACAAGGAAAAATTCCAGTTTTCCTGGATGGTGGGGTTCGCCGTGGAACCGATGTCTTCAAGGCATTGGCTCTTGGAGCATCTGGGGTATTTGTGAGTACTCAGACTTGATTGCATCAGTTCTTGCCCATAGATGATGGCTATATGGCCTATTACAACAATCTACATTCATGCAAAAAGTGAGAGAGCACTCATGTTCCTATAGTATCTACGCATAAGACGAGGAGTGGAATAAAAGAGGAGTAATAATCGTGTTGGAACCACCCGCCTGGGTGGCGCTGCTGGAGCGTGCACTCTTCCTCTCGCAAAAGGTTGAGTGTTCGAATCCCGGGTGCCGCAGGGTGACTTAACCGGTGCACGTGTGTGGTGGCTAACACGTGTCGCCCCCAGGGTTTACCTCCCGGCTGTCGGCCGTGCGGGGGTTCCCTGGGTCATCAAAAAAATAATAATAATAATCGTGTTGGAAAGTAATTTTTCTTCCTTTTACATGGGTCATTGACACCCCACTTCGATTTCTATTCAATACTAGTAAACTAATATTGGTATTGCCATATCTTCGTCAATTTGAAATTCCAGTCCAAATATCTGTAGGCTTTAATGATCCTGGGGATTCAACACTTGATAGATACAGAATGAAGCCGAATTTATTGATCATTAGCAAAGGCTAACAGAGAAACTAAGGTGATTTCGCCTTGTCTAACAGATTGGAAGGCCTGTCCTGTTCTCATTGGCGGCCGAAGGCGAAGCTGGTGTGAAGAAAGTGCTTCAAATGCTCCACGATGAGTTTGAGCTGACTATGGCATTGAGCGGATGCCGCTCGTTGAAGGAGATCACCCGCGACCATATCATGACTGAGTGGGACCGTCCTCGGGTGGCACCTCGCCTGTGAATCTGGCGACTCTTCTTGCCTGTATCGTGGATTAACAATGCGGAATGTTAATGTTCAGGAACTTGTATTTTTCAGAATAACAGCACAACGTCCCTGGTTTGGGATTATGTGAACTGGGGTCCGCCATTGCGACTTCCTCACACGTATCAATGGCAATGTCTGCTCTTTAGTTGTTACTTCACTCCAGTTGTGCTATTTCACGGGAAGTTTCCACCTAGGCTAAGCTATTGGCCTATTGCGTAAACTAGGGATCATCGGTCCGGGGACTTGGTTGTATGGTGGGGAAGAGTTAGCATCCCCACAACTCTCCTTCAGTAGCATAATCCTATCAATGAAGCTTGATTTCCGCTTATTATTTGGTTTTTCGAGCACAATGCCTGATTTTTTGGAGGGTGTTAAAATGACAAGTCGCCTAGTTCGATATTCAGTGCTGCCATTGATTATCACCCCCATTTTTCACAAAATGGCATGACTCCATGAGTATGTGCTTGTGTCTATTTTTGAAATAAATGCACGACGAAACATGAAATGTGGAACGATTGACATGACGACAACGTGACATAATGATGATATATAAATATGTATACAATGACATGCAGCATTTTGACAATATAAATTCATATAGATGTCATAATGATTACAAGATAAGCCGCATGACATAATGATGACATGACAAAGCACATGACATAACGAAAATGTGGTAAAAACATACAAATGTCAGACGATAACATGGCAAAGCATTCGAATCATATGTTAGATGACGTGGCAAAAGTACGCAAATATCGTTACAGTGACATGAAGAGATCTTCCTTGAAAAATCAAATCTCGAAGCCAATGCCCTTCGCGCTTTTGTGATCACTTTACTTGTGATGGTTAATTCCGAGAAATTCCTATCATACTTCCTAAATTAAAAAAAAGTCTTATAAAAGATGTTACGACACGGCAAAGTAAGACCCATTTAGTAACATTTTCGTTTCTATGTATTTCTGTCTATTTGTTTTCCGAAACAGAAAAAGAACATAAATCTATTTATGTACATCAGTAAATTATTTTTTTACCAAAATAAATAAGTAGCTAGGGAATAAATTTGAAATAAAAACAATAAATAAAAAAAATCTACTTGTTCGTCTCTATTTGCTAAGGCTCTTCACTTCATTTCATTTTTGATCGCATCATTGCATGCGTCTCGATCCTCACCAAGTGGGTTGTAATCATGATTTGGACAATCGAATGTGCAAAAGCTGAGTGTCCAAGTGGAACTGATTTGGATTAGTTTGGAAATACTTTCTCAAAATCCATGAAAGCAAATCTACAGCTGCCAACCATTTCAAAGCAAATCTACAGCTGCCAACTCCATTTTGCCAATCACAACGTCGACGATCTTGAAATGATACAACACAATAATCTTTATTATACAAATTAAGAATACCCATATAACCATGAAATGATGGCAATTATATTTACCATGAAAGGACTTTCTTCCTATCTGTCGCACAATCAGTTTTGACTCCTCTTCTGTCATAAGCCATGCCGTGCCAGCTCGGACATCGCATCGGACAACTGATCGTAGTTCTGACTTCAAGCTCGGCTACGACAGGGCCTGCATCGGTCACCTTATAAACAGCTTGGTGACAATAACTTGCTAATACAGGCTTTCACATCCGTCAAACTTCTCACAGACAAGCACAACCTGTCTAATATTTGCCACACAAGTTAAAAGTCGTGCCCCATCAAAGAATTTAAGCATTGACCAAAGCGCGCTGCAATTGTCAAGAAAAGAATTCTATACAACAAAGAATTAATCTATTCTATATGTCTGACTGATTTCTGGCTAACTTACCAATTAGTGATCCGCTGGTTTTGTTTCCTTACAATCTAACTAGTCTCAAGATAATTGGTACAGGGTTTAGCACAGCAGTTCCACTTCAGCCAGTAACACTCTGCAACTTCAAACAGATTGAATACTGAGAGCTCCAATCGCACCTAGGACTTCACATCCAAATGGCAGTGATTCTTGAAGATCACAATAATCGCTGAAATTCATGACCATATATACATCCTCTTGAGCAAAACATTCAAGATTATGCTGCCGGTCATCTTAGACTTCACAAAAAAAAAGGATTACGTCCACTCTCAGTCATCAATTTGATGGCTCGTGAAAGCAGCTATGCACTTGAAACAGCCGAGACTCAAGTCATTTAAAAATAAGAAGACTGATCAGGAAGCACGTTTAAGTGAGCAAGTATTTTGGCAGCTAAAGATTTCATTCTGCTGCTTCCGCGCTGTGTCAAGTCAACTAGGGGCATTTGTGCCAATGGTCCATACCTCAGTTTGAGTTCTGGCAACCGGAAAATCCTTTCCAACGCCTCTAATGATTTCTCCTGCAAACTAGAGGAAGAGGAAACAAGAAACTTTATCATTGGAGGAATCACATTTGCTTCCACAAGAACCTTACTGCCACTTTGCAGTTTTTGGCCCTCAATTAATGTCAATAATGCATCTAAAGAAGCCTCACAGGCTTCGAGATCTGCCTCATCGAGGACCCCCACAAGAGGTTCCACAGCATTAGCTTCGATGAGGCAAAATGATGATTCCACTGAACAGATTCCTCCATGAATTGAGCAACCAGATTCCATAGGAGCTGAGAAGCACAAGAATCCTCTACGTTTCGGTATTGCCCTGCTCAATTGAGATGAGCTGCATGAGAACTGAGCAAGACACAAGGAGGCACGCCTTTTCGTCAAACTAGTTCCAAATTTTAACAACTGCACCAGCAATGGAATAAGCCCCTCTTTAGCTGCCCTCTTTTGCATTTCCTGGTTAGTAGGTACAGTGAAACGACAAATAGCTCTGACAGCATTTTCCACTAATTTACTCTTTTGAGAATTGTTCTGCCTAGAGATCTGCAGTAAGTTGAGAATAGCGGGGAAAGCTCCTTTATCCTGAAGCAATTCAGTGAATTGAGGCTCCTCTGGTAGCATGGCGATTATCCCAACTGCAGAAGCAACCTCCTCATCATCATTGGAAGTTCTGATGATCTTAAGCAACGTCTCGACGCACCTTTCTCCCACATGCTCTGTGATGATTGCCTCATCACTTTCATCAACCAAAAAATAGAGAAGCTTTACAGCATTTGCTCGGACGTTTAGCCTATCAAGCTCACATAGCTGAACCAATGCTTGAAAAACAGAGCACTGCATGTGGAGTAGATCACCAGTATTACAAGTAGATGTAGAGAGAAAATGCAGCAAGAGTGAGACCAACATTAAATATCGTGTAATTTTGACTTAAGATAGAAAAACATAAGTATCATTCAGATAACAAAGTTTGCATGCGACAGTTTCTCCACTGTTGGATCAGCATAAAAAACCATGATTTGCTAGGTAAATATCGACCATGCAGTTCCTCCAAAGGTGGGAGCATTAGTATCTAGACATTGAACTATATCAGTTCTTTCTTGTCACAAGTTACTAGGTCGGTCGTAAATTTTGCAAGTTGCAACCATGCAAAAGCCATTACAGAGGATTTTGACCTTTTTCCTTTCAATGTAGAAGCTTTCGTGAAATTTTGGAAAGACTGTCTTTGAATTGTTGATAATTGCATATTTTACATGATACACCTTACTTAAACAAACCTCACCATCCAAAACGACTGACCTCAAGATATATGAAACTCATAATGAAAGTACCTCACTGCAAACAAGGCAGTTATGCTTATTATTGCTGCAAAGGAACAGAAGAATGAGATCGCAAAGATCGGAGGATGTTACCTGCCTCAATCTGGTCCTGACATTAGTACCACAAGGGGATTGACACAGGGCATGAAAAGTTCGAAGAATGCACTCTTGTACGTTCGGGCCAGAGAATATAGTCAATGAAAAGAGCTTGAAAATATCTTCCGATTCCAACAACAAGCTCTGTGTCTGATCTGCCTCTTGAGACAAGGTTGATATAGCAAGTTGCATGATTGTGGCAGCCAAAGTTTCACGCAAGCTCGAGGATGATGAGCTGTGATTAAAGAGAACATCAAGTAAGGGGCCAACTGCTCCATCTACTATCATCTGGAGCCCATTTTTTGGTAAAGTCGAGAGGGTGTAGAGAGCCTTGATAGCCACTTCTTTCACCCGAATGTCAACATGTTCAATCAAGTGAAGGAGGGGATCCAACACTCCACCCTCATAAAGGGATGCCTTGTTGTGGTCGGTCAACTCCATTTCTGCCAAAGCTGTTGCAATGGTCATTTTGACATCCTCCGGTCCTGCATTTACATTCTATCATAAGCTGTGTTACCAAATTAACCTTGCAGTACTGCTCAATCAAACCCGATTTACACATTTGATTAAAAAAAAATTAAATGAGCAGTGTTGACTTGCTTCCAGAGTGTTGATGCACATCAATAAAAACAATTGTATGTTCCCTAAGTTGTTTTCAATTAGCAATTACACACTTTATTATTGTAGTGCAAGCTTCCACCATAAATGATTTTCATAACCCACAATAAAATATACTCCCAAGATCACTGGAATGGATTAGACTGTAAGTATAACCCTCAAAGACAACACCAGCAGTGATGCCAGGTGAACTGTTTGAATTAGATTCAACTAAAACAAATTCCGCCTTGTTGTACTAAGAAGAGGGGTCGGAACTTTTGAATGAGATAAAAGAACAAAATCTACAGAAAAAGGAATCCCGCTTCAGAAGCCCCTATCAGGCTCACTGAAATAAACGTCCATTCATATGCAAGATCAGGATTTTTTTGTCTACAAATAAGCTCATCCTAGTTTCATACAACCAAGTTCAGATAAATGATGTTGTGTTAACCAGGAATGAAAAAGAACAGCTAACTGCTTCTTTAGTGATATTTTAGACTTGTAGAGGGCCCAGAATCACTTATGCTAACATAAAGACCTTAATTTACGCAGTCAGAATTGAGGAAATCACCGGAAGAAAGACGCTGCAGTAAATACTTGAAGTAATTTGCCTTTGCCATCTGCACAACATTCTGATCTGAAAAGGACAGATTATCCAGTAGCTCTTCTGCATCTTTTGCAGCTTGAATATCATCACCCCTTGACATGGTCACCAAAAGAAGTATGCATCCTTGAACCTTCCCCAGGCGATCTCTTATAGAACTATCTTTCGATAATTCTAGCAATAATCTTACAGCTAACTTCATCTCACGGCGTCCGAGAGAACCAACAATGACTTCAATTGCGTTGTCGACACTCGCAATTCTTTCCTATATCATAAACCATCATATGCAAATATGATTGATGTTAGCATTAGCTGTAGCTAGAAATTAATCACCTAACACGTATCCAGACCATGCAAACATAATAGGGTTAACTCGTTCATTTACATATGCTAGATATGCTAGACTGCTAATTCTCTGCAACAGTTTCTGCAGTAGAGGTGCTCCCCTTGCTATAACATATAAAGGAAAATTTGCAGTAACTAAACCACCATAAGATTACTGTCTCATGTTTGGTTTGGAGGTAAATCTTATAAATGAGGAGGGTGGCAAACTGTCATCTCTTGGAGGACACAATAATCTAGCTAATATAGACCAAACTAGGATACAAGTGGAGCTTTACGTATCATTTAGTTTCTTATTTGTAGTGAGCAATTAGTTGGTTCATTGGCAACAAAGTCAAATTTTAAAGAATTTTTCTCTTGATAGAATTAATTAAAAATTGATGAAATTGAACAGCAAGGACAGTAACTTTCGTATACAAACAGCATATCTAGCTTCATAAATGCGAGAAACCGAAGTGTAGCAGTAGTATGTTGCTGGGAATCGGAACAATGCCATTGCAACAGCCTGTAAGCACCCACGTGTGTTCTAGACTTTAAAGCATTAGAAAGAGGAACTCTTCTTCTCCTACTTCCATGCAATTAACCATATACAGAAAAACATGACTTATGTACCTTAGCATGATCAGTATCCCTTGCCACTAAGCAGAGGATAACGAGAACACGACTTTTAATTTCTCGAATATCTCGACCTCTTGAACGCAGAAGTTCGAGCAATATGGGTATGTAGTCCTCCATTATTACCCACTCTCGATGCACATCTCTTTGTTCACAGAGATCCTGTAGCTGCTCCAGGCAACAAAACACTTCTTCTTCATCATCTGACTCAAGCTTCTTTTTTATGGAAGCAATCGTAATCATGTTGTTTCTGTCCTTCCATTCTTCGATAGATTGTCGCAGAGTTTTATTTGGCCGTAAAATTGATGCATCTAAAGGAGTCATTGTGAGAGGACACATGTTATTCCCTTCTGCAAACCATTTTTCTATCGCACTTCGCTCAAAAGTATGTCCAGATGATGTCTCCACAGGGTCCACCATGACATCTCGAGTGATTGGGCAGTAAAATGACTGGAGAGGTTCCAGTGGTTGAGTTCCCAAAGACTTCCGCTTGGTGAAGTATTTTATCTCCCTCTCCTTAGGAGATGAAGCAGCATCTGCCCTTTCTAACAAAGAAATTATCTGCTCCATCTGTATCGCTTCTGCCTGATCCTTCCGCAGCTGGGCATTTTCAATCTCACTCTTGAACTCATCAAATTCTCTCCTCAGGGACGTCTTCTCAGTAGATACACCAACCACCTCCGCAATACGAACCAGCAAATTATTTGCGTAGGATCTGTCGACGGTCCTATCCTGTATTCCAGATTCAATTTTCTCTAGAATCTCTTCCTCAGCTGAAGCAGCCCGAAGCTCCGCCTTCTCCATGTTGTCACATAGAATCTTGATGTCCTCACTTATATTAGAAGAGAGATCCATGGATGCCAACGGGAGGAGGCTTAATCCTCTACTGATCTCTCTTATGCTGTTCTCCAAGCTTTTCACAATTTTGCGGCAGTTCATTAGAAGATACACTTTGCTCCTTTTGCTGCACTCCCTCGTAAGTCGCTTGGCATTGCTGACTTCTCTATTAAGAATCTCGATAGCAGTGTGCAAGCTTTGAGAATTACTGATTTCTTTCCGACTCAATTCTTTAATTACTGGGACAATCCTTTCCAAGTAAGTAGAAAGTACCTTAAAACTTTCCTTCTCAACGACAACATCATTGGAAGCAACTACAACTTCAACAATGAACTCCACCATTTGAGAAAGGGCTTCGGATGCAGGAGCCAATGACACATTAGTGATCACGTCCAACGTCATTTTGCGGCAAGCAAATGGGAAAAAGCAATCAAATTTCAAACACGGAGATGAGACAGCCGTACACAAAGGATGTTGATCTCATTTTCCTCTAGAAGAGATTCCCTGCATCAAAAGAAAGCATCAAATCAGGAGCTCTCCCGCCGATCCAACTCTGGATTTATAGACTACGAGATGAGCAATATATCCAGTCCAACCCCTTTGTGTTATTTGTGCGAGGAAGCTTTCTTATCATAAGGTTCTATTCAGAAAGTATCCCATGTGCCCCGAAAACTACGTCACAGTTTATCAGCTCCGGCTGTTCACATGGGCGTAACCGACAGTGGCACGTAATGGCAAATGCAAAGCTCAATAAGCAGCTAGAAAGAACAAAGAAGCCATGCACATTCCCATCCAAACAAGTGCAAGATTGCAATGAAAAGCTTTTCGCCCGAAAAAACAAGCTATTCCCGGATCAAGGGAAACACATCATAAATAATTTCGGAGAAACCACATACTGGGTACGGTCATATGGTGGCTCCCTCCGTTCTTGATCACCATACATCAGCCGAAACTCCGATTTCGTTTCTCAGCCAATTTGCGACCCAGAAACACGAGGCACCGGTCCCAAAATCGAAGCCCTTACGATCACAGGAGGCATTGACGTATTCTCCAGTACCCACAACACGCAGACCTCAACGCCGACTCCAGTAAACGCAATCCGAGCCCAACAGCACTCATCACAGTTCAAACTCAACACGATCGGTCGAAGAGGCGCAGACCCAGAAGCGAAAAATCGCGACCCACTCACCGCGCCCCAGCGAAAAACCCGAGTTCCCGTTCCTCCTCCGGTTCGAAGCCGAAAGGCGGAGGAAAGATCGAACAATTGGGTCAAGAGCAGATCGATGGAGCTGCGGAAATCAATGCCTCCGAACCGAGGCTCGAGAAAGTTGACTGGAGGTCAACGCCGCCATCTCTGGGCTTCCAAGGCCCGAAGAAGGAGTTGCCCGAAAGAGGGAAGCGATCAATGCCGGCAAGGGGAGAGAGGGGGAGACCGAGACCGAGACCGAGCGTGGGAAGATGAATATAGAAACAAAGGAGGAAAAATATCTGATTTGATGATTAAGGTCGACGATCCTGTTCGGCGTCTGTCTGTCCGTTCTCGCCCCTTTCGCGTCGCCTACAGCGGGGCGCGTGACCGGAGTGACGACCACGACAGTCAGACGACGCTCGTCCCTTTGACCGTGTCGATCCTCTCCACGACATTATTATTATAGGGTGCGTTTTAAGTAAGTAACGATCTACGGTTTTTACGGAAAAGTGCAAGAATTCCAGTCCACGTACCCTTATTTCGTAAAGGGCAAAAGTACACCACAAGTACCATAACTCGGCAATCACTTTGGTGCCATAACGTTTTTTCGGATCACATTGGTGCCAAGTCGGAGGAAAATAGATCACTTTAGTGACTCCGGCCAAAAAGCTGACGTGGCATTTATATTAAAAAAAAATGATCTCACTTGTACACGTAATTTCCACGTGGCTTTTTTTTTCGAATTTTTTAATTTTAGAAAAATAATATTAATTAAAAAAAAAAAAAAAACAAAGGTTGCAGCAGCGGCGAGGGAGCCCTGGCCGCTGCTGCCTGGGTCGCCACCACCGCCGGGAAGGGCCGGTGGTGGTGGGCGCAGTGGTCGGCGAGGCGAGACCTCGCCGTCGCGACCCGAGCGACAGCGGGTCGGCCTCGCTGCGAGCGTCCCGCCTCGCCCGGCGAAAGCGGGCGAGACCTTGCCGTCGCCTGGGTCGCGACGGCGGCGCGGCCTCGCCCGCCGAGGTCTCGCCTCACCTTTCCGGCGAGGCCGCGCCTCGCCGTTGCGACCCAGCGACGGCAAGGTCTAGCCTCACCTTCGCCGGGCGAGGCCGCGCCTCGGGCGAGGCCTCGCCTCGCCGTCGCGACCCAGCGACGGCGAGGTCTAGCCTCGCCTCGGCGAGGCCGCGCCTCGCCCGCGCGACCCGGCGACGGCGAGGTCCCGCCGCCCGCAAAGGCGAGGTCTCGCCTCGCCGTCGCTTGTCGCGACGGCGAGGGTCGCTGGGCCCGGCCGGGGCGGCGACCCTCGCCCACCACCGCCGGCCCTTCCGGCGGTGGTGGCGACCCAGAGCAGCATGAGGAGCCCTCGCCGCGCAAACAAAATTTTTTTTAAAAATTTTTTTAAATTTTTTAATATAATATAATATAATTTTTTTAAAAAAAAGTACACGTCAGCGGCTAAACGGCGTCGTTTTTGTTTTTAATGCTGACTGGACCTCTCCGGCAAGCCGTGGACCTCTCCGGCGAGCCGTGTCAGCGCCACATCGGATTTCCGACGAGCCACGTCAGCATTGGCACTAAAGTGATCGTTTTTCAAAAAAGTTGGCACCAAAGTGATCCGAAAAAAAGTTATGGCACCAAAGTGATCGCCGTACACAAGTTATGGCACTTGTGGTGTACTTTTGCCTTTCGTAAAGTGAAAGTGATACAAATGGTCTATCAATTTTAGCTCAATAAATCTATCAAATGAGTGGATCGGATCGGGTTTGACCCATTTCCGTATAATACCTAAATTGTTAAATAGATTCATTTAACCCGTTTTGATCAATTTCTATATAATATAAATTTAATGACTCATACCCGATCCATATCTATATTATTAAAACACTTCCACATTTAACTAAATCTAGAAAAACTCATACCTAAATTGAGATAAGAGTGCGGGGTAAGTGAGGGCAAGAGAGATGAGTTGAGTTTAAATAAGTTGTAAATTCATTTATGACATATTTACGATCTATTTATAACCCATTTAACACTTATATTATGAGTATACCCATTTATGACCCATTTACTCATATATGGGTTAAGAAATGGGCTTATGACCCATTTTGACAAGTCTATGGCTTAATGTGCAATATCTTCTCGGAACTTTTAATTTGTTCAATGTGGTTCCGAATGTTCAATCTAATCCTTGAGTTATATGAAAATGCTTAGTATTGTCCCTGAACTTCAATTAATGGAAGAATAATATTGAATATTTTCGTATAATTCAAGGACAAACTTGAACACGTGCCAAAAGTCCAAGGATCATAATAAATAAATTAAAAGTTCAGGGATCATATTACACATTGGGCTAAAGTTTAGGAAACACATTGAACAAATTAAAAGTTCATTAATCATATTATATATTGAGTCAAAATTCATAAACTATGTGAAAGTTTTGATCCTCATACTTTTATAAAAAAAAAATCAAATTTGGTCCTCGTACTTTATCCAATTTTGACAATGTGAGCATATTTTGTAACCCAATTATGCGTTGGACTGCTTGTTTGCATTGTTAAATATGCAAAAAAAAAAAAATTTGTTATATTTCGACTAAAATTTGAAATGTTATCCAAATTTCAAAACAAATTATGAAAAAATTATATGTGGTTGTACGTGTCAAATATTGTATAATGCGAAACCTTCAAGTGATTTAGGTTAGGAAAAAATCAAAGGGCGTTCGCTACAAAATTTATTTCAAATAAAAAAGGAAAACGAGAGTAACCAGTCGTACCAGTGTTGCAAAGAATCAGCGAAGGAAGACGGATTTATGGATGAAGGGAGCTCTAGACAATGGCTGCCCAGCTAAGTTAGGGTTTGTAAATTTTGGGTTTAGTATGGTATTCTTGGGCAATGGAAGGATGCAGGGGTAATAGTGGTAGCTGGACAAGTTGAGCACGATGCAGAGTAGATGTGTTTTCCCATTTGTAGTGGGTTGATTGAAGCATTAAATAGGGCAAAACCGAGCAGGGTGGGAGGGAATAATGGTCAATCAGGAGGAATAAATACCTTGAAAATTAGGAGGGATGAACTACAGGGTCGTGAATAGGAAAAAACTTTTGCGAGGAAGAGAGGGGACACTCGAAGTGGAGCGTTCAACGAGACACGCTAAAAAATTTAGCACTTAATAAATTAAGCCATTTTGATAACTCTAACTAACTACCGTAGACTCAAAAGATCTAAGAAGTCAAAAGTTTACTCCGGTGAATAAGGACGGGTTGTTGGCGTAGTCTAGAATTGGAATCAGAAACCCTTTCATGTCCCAAGGCAAACCCCCTTACCTCTCAAAGACTCTTCCCTCTTTTGAAACTCTTCCGTAAATTTTCTAAAGTTGAGAGCCTATTTAGCCTTAGATTTTCTTTTTCTTTGCTTTGACTATCTTTTCTTTTCTCTTCCGATTTGTTTTGGGAGATTGTGCGTATGAATAAATTTCTGTAGCTAATCTTAGGTGAAAGTAGAGTCCAATTCGGCCATTTGTATAGTTGATAGCCCTCGACGAAGATGTCTGTCACGTGACTCTACAACCTTTCCGAGATTAGGCTACTCTTCTCTCCCGACTAGATTTCGATCTAGATATGGGGGTTTTACTCTTCCGATTTAGATTTAGGTCTAGATTTAGGAGTTCCTTACAGGTATTTGATATGTGTTCTTTCAACATATTGATGTTGGTGTCTTTGCACGGCGATGGTGATGAGAACGTTAAACTTAGACGTGCACCGCAAGCCGTTGCAAATAGAGTGGGGGATCTCAGCGTGTGCTCTCACTGAATCTGCTAATCGGCCACCTAACGTTTACGGTGGTAGATCTGTTCTTAAGAGATGATAGTGTGCTTCTAACTGCAGACTATGCTTTGTTATTTACATTTTAGTATTTCCTTTATTTCGCAGTTGTTTAGGATTTGCTAGACTTGTAAGCATTCTATGTGCCACTTGAGTATTATTCTGATGAATGGAATCTTTCTTTTGACAGAAAAAAAAGGAATAAAAACGGGTTGCTTTTTGTGCAATAGGAAAAATAATTGATGGTCATACCAAAAATAATCTTGCCAATCTATTCTAACCTAATTTAAGCAAAGATAGTAAAGTTATACCAAAAAATATCACGGAATGTGCTTTTGACAAATGGTTTAAGAAGGATTGGTTTTATGGATTTCAAGCTCCTCAATCAATTCACTTAGCTCTCTTCTAATTTCTTATAGGGGTGAGCATGGACCGGACGGGCCGTTCTCAACATGGAACCGGGAACCGCCACTAAGTACCGGTGCCGAGAAATTAGAACCGAGAACCGCCTGTTGATTCCATGGATCTACCAGGAACCGGACCGCCGGTCCAATCCAATTCCTAGGTGGTCCATAGAACCGATCCCACCAAGTTTCATGCAAATGGAGGTGATCGAAAGAGTGAGAGAGAGGTGATAAACGGCTAGAGGCGCGGCCGTGAGTTGATGGGAGTTGAGAATTGAGCTTCAAATTAGGGATTTTATTGTTTTTTATTTTTCTAAAAATGTTTTCTTTTTTTTTTTGTCAAAATTTTTCTTAAAAATTATATATATGTATATATTACCGATCCGGTTCGGGTGAGTGGGTGGGTGGTTTCACGCCTAGAACCAGGAACCGGACTGGTACTCACCGGTTCTAGTAAATTAGAATCAGGAACCGAACCGGTCCTCATGGGAACCGCCGGTTCCGAGCTAGTTTGGTCCTGTTCCGGGCGGTTCGGGCGATTTCCGATGCCTTTGCACACCCCTAATTTCTTGTATAATTAGCACTATTCATGTTAGTGCATTCTAAACTTTATTTGCTTATCCGGCTTAAAGGGTAGCCATAAGAACCATTGCTAATCAACATGTTTTGGCTAGAAAATAAAATTGATATGTACTTAACTCTTCAAACTTCTTTTCCTCTCGATTTACATGTCCCTTCATATCTCTTCTCGAAATTTTTTTAAAGAGAAAATTTGAAATACCCCCCCCCCCCTCACCTTTTGGACTTACATCAAATACCCTCCGCAATTTTTGAAAATTGCAATTTTCATCTTCAAACAAAGACCCCAATTGGAAATGAACATAATATTGTCAAAAAAGGGCATCATATTCTTAATAAATGATGATATAAATTAAGTTCCCTTCTTGATGAATAATAGCCATCGTGCATCATTCTCCCTCGTCGAGAAAAAGTCGCTCCGACGTGAACATTTCATGAAAGTAGACGACGAGTTTGAGCATCAAACCTCTCTTGTTCGGAAGAATCGAAGCAAATCGAAATGGTGTTTCTTGGTCGTCTCTTCCATCAACTTGGTCGATCCTTCCATGGCGTTTGTTAACACTGCAAATTGAACCTTGATTGTGCAGAGAAATTGTCAAGCTGACAAATGGCATGCACAATATACTCATACTCCGATCTCGACACTTGGTTGCAGGGTATCGTCAAGCGACGGCCGGAGTCTTCTCATCGGCTTTTGAATCAACAACTCTCGCAAACCTACTGCAGAATGCACTCAAAACTTTGACATGTTGGGTTGTCGTGTAACAATAGTTTCACACGTACCAATTTGATGGAAATCTGGACTTTCAGCACCAATACCAAATTGATGTAGAACGAATCTTGCTTTGAAATCAAGGAAACTGGAGCAGATCCAGTTCTTATAGCAACTAATGCAGAACCAGAAGCGTGGTAAGAAAGGTATAAAATCATAAAAAGAATCAGATAGTAAGAAAGGGTGGAGAAACAAGAGAGATAGATGAAAAAGACAGAAACGCCAATGCAGGCGGGGAAGAAGAAACGGCAAACTTGGCAAACTCAACCGATATTTATAGGCAACCTAAACAAAGAGTTCAAAGATTAAGACATCAAGATAATATTGTAAATAAATGGTTTATAAAAGGAAATAAATTGGTAAGGTTGTAGGGAAAAGGCATGTCCTGAATCATTTGCGCATCCAACTTCACATCTTCAAACCGAATGAGATCAATAGATGGCGTACATATTTTATATATATATGTACACATTTTCTTCCTCAGACCATGAAGTCGAGATTAGGCTTTACAGAGAGATCAGGACACCCTCAGTGATCAATTAACTACCGCATAGCACAAAAGTCCACACTCGAAAAATACGTCCAAAATAGGATTGAGGAACTCCTGAATTCACTCGATTTGCAACACCTAATCCATCAAACAGAACTCCATTGGAGACCCTATCAACAAATGTCCGCATGATAGATAGAACAACTACTGATCCATGTGATAGGGCGATGTAGCTCGGAAGCGAAGCTTTCTTTTTTGGAGGAATCGCTGGAGTGATCTCTTCATGGAAAGGCCGGTGCCAGTGGGGCTATAGAGCTCAGCAGGTGTTGGTCGTCTGCTTGGTAAATTAGGCCGCGATTCGGTCACGGTCAGTGTAGTTTTCATTCTTTCCTGCATTTCTCTGCTTGCAAGCACTAGAATTGCTCTCGCCTGTGACATACAAGAAGAACAGCAAACAAGCGATTATGTGCATAGTATAATTCCAATGAAAAATATTCATGAGTAAGCTTTAGGAGAAAATCACCACCATGTATATAGTTTAATGGTCGCGGCGAGGGGCACGTCGACAAACAAGAGAGTATTAAAGTAACAAATATCATGAAATTTTCAACGACAAGCAAGGTTGGTTTTTGTGTAGTTTGAATAAACTGACATATTACTTCTATTCATAACAAAGGGAAAAAAGGCAGGACATTTGCGTTGGGAGAGGACTTTGTCGGCGCGCATAATGCTCTCGTGTCGCACTGGGCTATCATGAAAATGTCCAACTTCTTGCGTGTCAAAACGGCTCCACGAATCAAACCATGTAAATCGACACACGACCGAAAAACTTCAAACGACATGGGAATGTGACTAGCGGTCCTAGGTACCTGTAGTTCAGTAACATCGCAGACGCAAACGTCGCCATTGTAGAATATGGTCAGCTGCTGCTGCTCTTCCCGCCTCCCGCTCGTCACTTCCATCCTACCACAACAGCAGCATCAAAACAAGATCAAGTTTTGCTCTCGCCGCGTTTGCTCTCGCTTTAAAAAGCTCCAGCTTTTACAGTAACGTGAGGCAGGAAGAGCAGCTTACTGATCTGGGCGACGGAAATCCATTGAAGAGAGAGAAGCTGAAGCAGACTGCAGACTAAGCTGCAAGTTACAGTTCCTTCTCATTCTCGTTGATCAAGTCTATGGAAGAAGGAAACATACATCAAATGCTGCAACTGCACTTGAGAGAGAGAGAGAGAGAGAGAGAGAGAGAGATTTGAGGCGGCTTTTGCTAGTTAGTGCGCCTTGTGTTGGTGTAGAAGACAGCGGGAGTTGACGTGATTCCGGAAGAAAAGCATCCGACCCACGGAATTCAGACACAAGTTTTCCAAATTAAGCACGTGGGGAAAACGATCCGAGCTGGAGCCACGTGATTCCCACAGAAAAAAAAGCATTTAAAACGCGGAATTCGGACGCAAGTTTCTGGATGGAGCACGTGGGAAAGCGATTCTTTCCTTGAGGCTGCTGCTAAAAGGGACTCATCCCTTAATCGACGGTGCGACTTTGCCCCCGACGTACCGCTTTGATCAGATTCTGATTGCCAAACCTAGTCATGGCCACGGGCCGATTTTGGCCCGGAACCGGCCCGGGTCAAACCCGGGACTGGCCCGTTGACCGGACCTAAGGTTCGGAACCAGAACCGGCCCGTGGCATACGGGCCCGATTCCAAAAAAAAAAAAACCTGCTGCTGCAGCCTACATTGATATCTCTCTCTCTCACGTGCTCTGCATCTTCTGCTTTTGCTTCTCCTTCTTCTTCTTCTCCTCCGAGGCTCTGCCCGCCCCCTATCTTCCCAGATCTGACCCCCGCCGCCGTCGCCCCCGCCCATGGCCGCAGCCGCCGACGCCGACGCCCCCTCCTCCTTCCCCCTCGCTACCCTGCGCCTCCTCCCCTTTTCTCCTCCGCCGGGTCCGCCCACCCCCCGTCTCCCCAGATCTGACCCCCCGCCGCCGCCGCCGCCGCCCATGGCCGTAGCTGCCGACACCGACGCCGACGCCCCCTCCTCCCGACCCCGGAGGAGGAGGACCCCCCACTCCTCCTCCCCGTCCCCGTTCCCGTCCCCCTCCTTCTCCCCCTCGCCGCCGCCCCCGTCTCTCGCTTCATCTCCTTGCCAGGTCGCGAAACCCGAGCGACGACCGACGGTGACCAGGCCTGCAATTTTTTTTATTAATTTTTAAATTACGAACCGGAACCGGAACCGGAACCGCCCCCTTGCGGTTCCGTTCCGGTTCATACGTGGCCACGAACCGGAACCGGCGGTTCCTGAACCGTGGCCATGACTAGCCAAACCCCCTTGAATTAAAAGGAAGTGGAAAATTTGGCGATGGTCTCGATTCGCTAAGAGAGGGTTTTTTCTACTAAACTTTTGTTATATCAAGGGAAGATTATCTTTAAGACGAGATGAACATGTCATTGACTCTTGGTATCATCTTGTGGGCCCGATACGGTCGACACTTTCGGGCGGATAATTTATCGAAATTTACTATACTGGCGAAGTTGGGGGGAGCTATTTCCATCCCGCAAATGGCTGCATAGATGATCATTTAATTCGACAAAAAGAAGAAGAAAGATAATCATTTAAGGAGAAAGCTTCATTGGAACTTATAGATGCCCTTATTAAAATGAGGCAATACTACGTGCATTTTCCAATGGAGTTCCATGATTCTCTCTATATATATTATTTTCTGGGTTGCGGAGATTTGCGACTTTACGCCACTATCTCGTACTTTTCTTTTCTTTTATATTTTTTACTCAATGAAAAGAAATATTGGAGAATGAATCCATTCAAGAGATAGGGGTTGATTTGCCTCACTAACTTAGGAAAGAACCTTATGGTAAAATCACTTTAATAACAATATAAATCTGATATGTAAATTGTGTTCTCGCGAATTTGTCTCTTAATGGGACAAACAAGCAATGTTGGAACAAAGAATTTTCGCAAATGGGCTTAATTTACTAGTGATGTCAACACTACAGGCTTGTGCGATCGTCGGGATAGGATAATGATGCATCCAGGGATACGATTGGATAAATTCGGACGAAATCCTGAATAACTTATTATATATAAGAAGGTGGAGGGGAAGGAGGTGGCACAACACTATATGCCTTAGTGATTATTAAAACATGTCTCAAGTTTGAGCTCGCGAACGAAGTCTGATTAAATATGTGTGAATTGTTATTTGTGGACCTTCAAATATGGGGAAAAGTGCCAAAAAAGTCCTAAACCTTTTGCATTAGTACCAATTTAGTCCTAAACCTTTTTTTGGTGCCAATTCAGTCCTAAACCTTTTGCATTGGTGCCAATTGAGTCCTAAACCTTTTTTTGGTGCCAATTAAGTCCTAAACCTTTTAAATTGGTGCCAATTCAGTCCTAAACCTTTTATTTTTGTGCCAATTTAGTCCTTCCAGCCAATTTAGACCGGAATTTGCCTACGTGGACGCCTGCCGGCCGGCGGCCGGTCACCGGCGCCGACGTGGCGCCGACGTGGACAACTTTAATATTTTTTAATATTTTTTGAATTTTTATTTTTTCCTTTTTTTTTTTTTTTTCTACTTTTTTTGGTTGTCTTCCTCCTTACTCGGCCGGTCGCCGGTCCGGCGACGGCCGCAGCCGGCGAGGGCGAGCCTCGCCTTGGTCGGGCGAGGCTCGAGCCCGCCGGAGGCCGCGGCGAGGTCGAGGCGAGCCTCGCCATGGCGGGGCGAGCCTCGCCATGGTCGGGCGAGGCCCGACCTCGCCGGATCCGGCGAACGCTCGACCTCGCCGGATCCGGCGAGGTCGGGCCTCACTCGACCATGGCGAGGCTCGCCGCCTCGCGGCCTCCGGCGAGGGCTCGAGCCTGCCTTGGTCGGGCGAGGCTCGCCTCGCGCGGCCTCCGGCGAGGTCGGGCCTCGCCATGGTCGGGCGAGGCTCGCCCTCGCCGCAGCCTCCCGGCGAGGGCTCGAGCCTCGCCATGGTCGGGCGAGGCCCGACCTCGCCGGATCCGGCGAGGCCGGGCCTCGCCGGCGGCCGGGCGAGGCTCGACCTTGCCGGATCCGGCGAGGTCGAGCCTCGCCCGACCATGGCGAGGCTCGGCCTCGCCGGCGAGGCCGCCTCCCGTGGCCGCGAGGTCGAGCTCGCCGCCCTCCCCAGTGGCCGGCTAGGTCGAGCTCGCCGGCCACTGGCCTCTGGCCGGTCGCCGGACCGGTGACCGGCCAGATGAAGAAGAAACCAAAAAAAAAAAGTGGAAAAAAAAAGAAAAAAAAGGAAAAAAATAAAAATTCAAAAAAATATTAAAATATTATTTAATTTGTCCACGTCAGCGCCACGTCGGCGCCGATGACCGGCAGGCGTCACGTCAGCAAATTCCGGTCAAAATTGACCGGAAGGACTAAATTGGCACAAAAATAAAAGGTTTAGGACTGAATTGGCACCAATTTAAAAGGTTTAGGACTTAATTGGCACCAAAAAAAGGTTTAGGACTAAATTGGCACCAATGCAAAAGGTTTAGGACTGAATTGACACCAAAAAAAGGTTTAGGACTAAATTGGCACTAATGCAAAAGGTTTAGGACTTTTTTGGCACTTTTCCCTCAAATATGTGTCATGGAAATCCATATTATTTGTTCGGTGTTATAGTCCAAAAGTTGGAATATTTATGTGGACATCCAAAATATATAAATATTGAGCAAAGGAAGATACGGCAACTTTCAATAAGGATTTGGAGTCAGCCAAAGAAAAAGGAAAAGAAAATCAAAAGAGGAAAGTTGGGTTCGCCGAGCCACATGAGTTTCCTATTCCACGTTGAAGTTGCCTACTGCACGCATCCATAGATATATATTATATATTCTCCTCTTTGGTCATGTGGTCGTTGTGTTGGTGCAGAACTCTTGCGGAAGTTACGGCCGTTTGTGTATGCGCTCAATATTGGTCGTCGTGCAATCTGAGGAGCTTCACTCGTGAATTACATCCAAGAAGAATTAACATCCAAGCCAAAACTTGTGGTAAGATTTATTAATTCTTCTGTGAGATTGAGAGATTATATCGTAAGATATGTATGGCTAAACACTGTGTGAGTTATTGGATGTAATTTGACATTAGAAAACATCAAAAGTGCTTAATTGACTCGAATGTATTTATAATATTCGTGGTATCGCTTGATCTATTCTAGAATTTCTTTCTAATCTCCTTGCAGATGTAGATCACACTAACCGAATCACGTAAATTTGTTTTCGCGAAACACTAATAGCACACTATTGTTGTGTAGCTAGCAACTACTGCGTGGTGGTAGAACCCCAGTGGTGAACCCGTCGCAATAGTCACATGTGTCAAGCCAAGTTCCACATCTCTCTCTCTCTCTCTCTCTCGTGCACGCGCGCGCATTTTTGAAGCAATCACACGATAGACTCAACCACCACCATGGTGGTCCAACAAACAAGCGACCACGAGCATGGTAGATGCAAATTGAGTGGGTATTTTTTTTTCCTTGCTTTGTTGGGATAGGTGCACCATAAGTTATAAAACTTGTCCAGCAAGTGTAACCGAATCCTAAAACTTTCAAATAGAGTAATCAAGTTCTAAAATTTATCATAGATGTAATGAAATCTCTCAATTTACTCCGTTATATTTGGAACAAAAAAAACTAACGTGGCTCATTGAAAGAGGAGTATTTCCTTAGTCCCTACTGTGCTCTCTAGAAATTCTCTCAATTTGGTGGCGATTCTGATGCTTTTGAGATTCTCGCTCTTTTGAAGTAGGTCTTGACAACCTCAATTCCAATTCCGAATGGAGATGCATAGGACGTTGTAATGTTCGTTTGGAATCATAAAATCAAATATACGTTGTTTTGCCGCTTGTTTAAGTAGTCGTAAACTCCATGTTCATAGGTTGTCATAATGCCGAATGAATCTCAAAATACGTCATTATGATGGCAAAGTAGTTTTAGAAGTCATGCATATTTCAAGGGTGCCGTGGCGACCGTGACTTCAAGATTTGAGACAGACATGAGTAAATGAGACATTGAATATGCTGGCTATCTTGAAATAGCCTAAAATCGAACGAAAAGAATCTTTTAAATAAAAACCAATTAAAAATGTGACTCCACATAGATTTCAAATAAGTTGCATTCGCAAATTCGTTCTCAAAGTCTTAGTCATTTACTCATGTCTTATTCAATGTCCCTTTCCATTTCACATGTCATGTATAGTATATTTTCAAAATACACATTCACGCACAATGGGGTTAACCCATATGCAAAACGATGCAACCTT